ACACAGGCTATACCAATTAAGTTTTTTTATATATCCACGCGGAAGGAGTCGCGGGCGACAGCTAGTCATGAAATAAAAATTAAAATAAAATTGTACAATGGATAAGTAATCGCAGAAATAAAGTTTTGACATGTTTTATCAATAACAAAATTAAGATTTTTGGTTCAAATAAACAAGTCACAGAGTAACAACCGTTTGACATACAGAAGGGTACTAACATAGCTTAAAGTATATGCAAGTTATGACATATCATTAGATATCGATAGAAATGGTAGTCATATGTGGTGAGCGTGTCTTAGTATCGAGTATCGATCAGTAAACAGGCCAGCGCGAGCCCGCTGACCCCGCCCGTCCATGATAACTCATAGATAAGTGCACTCCGCATGCCCGCCTGTAAACTGCCCTCCTGCCCGCCTCTTAGCAAACATCAGTCGCGACCTAGACAAACTATATACTCCGATCTATTATTAATAACATAATTTTTTATTAATAATAAGTAATACAAGACCTTGATCCCATCTGATGTTAAGCGATCAAAAGATATTAGTTGGCACGTCGTAGAATATTTTTGTTACCAACATGCCAAAGCATATGCTGGGTACATTTTTGAATTGGCACGTCAGGTAGATGAGTACTTTTGTTCCCGGCGTGCCAAATCAAATGCCCAGTACTATATAGATTATTCACTCTTCTCTTGGACGTCATAATTGGACGGAAACAATGACGCCGGCTGTGAACAAGTTCTTAAACGCACGAGGCCAGCAACTTGTCACAATCTTTATATTTCAATCTGTTTGTACAGTGACACATATTTCTTCTAATATACAAAGAAGATTTGTCTTTTCTTTACTTAGCAAATGGCATTCTACAAAGTTATGCAAGAACGGCATCACATGCGTTTAAAATGATTGTTATTCATTTTATTCCACGTCGTTAAACTAATAAACAGTTTAATTTTAAACATGCGATAGACATCATCTAACTTTGATATATCTACTTATTTGTTTATCTGTAAAGTTTATATTGCTTATAATATTATTGAGCCTAACATCAAAAGATCGAGCCGCTTTTGATTTTCGATCCGGGTCTACGGTCTCTCGCTAGAAATAACTTTCTGCCGACCTAATAATGTTATTGCATATGTGGACCATAAATAAATATCCTAAATCTGCCTACTTTATTGAAATCGTGCTAAGAAAATATCAAAATATTTTTTTCAAATATTCACGAAACCATTCGGCTTTTGGTTACTCTGTACGTATTTACCAAACGCTGTCATAGTATGGACAAGTCTATTTTGACAAACTGTCATTGACGTAATTAATGATTTATCAACGATTTAGTAATAAACTTTATTAGGAATGATAAAAGCGAAATTACTATTTAATATTATTATTTTTCTTTCTATAGTGTGTTTTGGAAAAGAACATAGCAACAGATAACATAACAACTGAATAACAGATAATAAAATCACAAAAAATGCAATGTGAAATGTTCATAACATTATTATTCGCCTGTCTAACATTTGTTAGTACATCGCTTACGTTCAAATAATAAACAATCCGTAATCCACAGACAGATAACCCAATTAAATAACGAGTTTACTCATTACATATCTACACAAAGTACACAATACAAATTATTTTTTAAATAGCTCCAGTCAATTAGTCTGACAATATGAACTGATACGACGAAGAAGACGGAGCTTACATAAACTGTTTGAACAGATTTAACAGGTCTATTTGGTCTTTGATGGTAAGGAATTCTTATGAGTATCGATAGATATGGATTGATGTGTCAAAACATGTATTAATAAATTTATTTATTTTCCAAAAAGGAAGAACAGCATGAAACATGTATTAATAGTTGACATGGGTAATCGAAATTCATAAGAATGTCCATATTATAACATCGTAGCAAGATGGTAGATGTCAGCAAAACAAAGATTTATTTTTAATCAGAGTAAAAAAATAAGAATCAAATATTTTTTTATTAAATTAAACACTTTTCTCACAATTCTTGACACATTGTTATTTGAAAGCGACTTTACACGTGACATCTAACCAAGAACTTAACAACTTCCTCGAATTAAAGAGGAAAAACATTTAGTTGAAGATCGCATCAAAACTGGTTCTGTGTCTATGAAAACGCAATCGCAACAAAAGCAAGGTTCATTTGTCGCAAGAAAATGCATGATAGGAGCGGAAGCGGTACTAAGGTCGGCTTCCCGTTCCTTATCATCATCCTTTATCGTTACACACGGTTAATTACTGCACTTAGGCGTAGTTAATCGGTCACTAAAGGTATCATTACCACTAACCGTAGGTTTCTGACACCAAAACCTCTGTTTAAAACATATTCGTATCTCTGTCATGTCAAAGATGAAAGACCGGGATGACGATAAGTTTTATACAGAGTTTTTCTTTACGGAAACCAAGGGATAATCCACATTGAAGGAAACCTATTAACGACTTTGAATGTGGTAATTAAAATACATAAAGTCTGTCTGTAATGTGAATTGTAGACATGGCTAGTATTCATAGACCTTAACTCTAGGTGACTATCTCTACACCTCCTCTATAATTTATAGCAGAATTACCGATGCTTCAATTCAATCTCTTAGTTTAACTATAATACGCTTGGTGCCGATACAACAAAAACAGTAGCGTAACGCGGAAGCATTCTATGCCACGGTGAAGTGTAAAAAATAGTTTTACTAAGAACTTACTACCAACACAAATAAACAGATAAAATGTAACATTATTAAATGTAACAATTCTAATTGATCCAAAGATTTTTTTAGACGGTTAAAAGACAAACCGGTACTTACATACACGTTCGGTAAAATTTGGCATAGATGTAGAACCTAGCTTCGAACACATAGGCTTTTTTTTGACGTGCAAACAGAGTCGCGGGCGACTGCTAGTTGTTTTATATAACCAAAATATGAATGCTATTCATATTAAATATGTTACCATAGCATACTACAGATTTTTTTGATTACAGTAGTGCGAAGACTTCTATTTTAAATAAACGTGTTTACTTTTTACAGGGAATATAATTCTTGGCATATTATAAATCCTTACAATAACATGCTCGTCACTTCCGCGTACTTAAGGTAAATTTACATAATTCCAGTCCAGTGATTAAAATCACCGCTGGATTACAATTGAAGAAACTTAAACTAACGCTAGAATCTACAGTCTCGGTGGGATCATTGGTCCGAAATAATGTTAAAAAACTGGGGATTGAAAGACACGTTCACTCCAGTCGGCACAAAGTTTATCAAAACTTGGTTGGTCTGTGTTCAAAGTAATTATAACACGGTGTAGATTCATACATTCATAGAGCGTTCACGATCCAGCGGATGTAATCAGAGGCGATAACATTTTTATAATTTTACTGTATCACAGTATAAGGTTACCGGACGCGGTCGATCGATTCGTAGAAATAAAACAATACGAATACCAACACTGATACAGTTAGAAATCTTGCCCTTAAGCTTGAAGGATAAAAAACGTATAAAAATGTCAAAGCAATCATTCGGATAAAAGCTACTTATAAAAATCACTGTATAAAACATATCGTCATCTCTTTCATAACCTTTGACAAAACAGAGATAACATCATGCTTTAGACGGGAACTTCGGTCTCCGCAACCCACGGTGTGATTTAAATCTTCAAGTGGTAAGACGAACACTGCTAAAAAGTATTGGAAATGTCTTTTTCCTGTCTTTTAATCTATGAACGATAATTATAGTAATTATATAAAGTATAGTAAATATAGTAACGATGAAATATAATAATATACTACTTTCCATACATCTCTACCAGCCGTCATATCTATATTTACTTCCTTCTTTCACATAATCCATACATTGTATAAAGTACTGGAAGCGACAGCAGTACAAGTGCCAAATAAACGCGATAAAATACGTAACATTAGTATTCATCTATCGAAGGGTACAGATGAAACTACGGTTGCTAGGGAAACAATCTCTATAATTACACTGGGTCAAACAAACGAAGGTTTGTTAAGCGTTCTCTAGGCTATCCCCTCTCGACCCTTGGAGGCCACCAGAAGGGTGTTACTATGGCTAATTGCATACCAAGGGCTTCCATTAAACAGTGTATTCAACTGATCCAATCAATCTAAAAAATAACACGGAAAATGTGAAATATGTATGCGTAAAAGTGAATATTAGGTGAAAATAAGAAAGCAAAACGGAGCTCGCGTTGTGAAAGTAACAATTAATAACCAGTGGACTGAATCAAAGACTGGAATTATTAAATAATTATCGTACAAGTTAGCATTTTCTATATTATTGTCGTAGTTCATATTACTAAAACATTGCTCTTGTTACGTAAAAGCGCTCGTAACTCAGAAGTGGCAATATTGCGTAGGTTTTTACAATATATGACTTTGGTTCGATTCTATGCACAACAATTTTAGCATAAAAATGAACTACATTGAATATAATGATAATTTAAGCGAGATGAACGCTGACGCAACAAAAATAAAATTTTAAATTTAGCTCAAGAATGGAATGTCACGTTTCAAACTGAAAAGGGATACGATAAAAGCTCAAAATTTAAAATTATATAGGCAATGCTATGTTTTGTTTAATGTAAGTCTACTCTACCTAGCCTTATTATACATTTTTTGGTACAAACTTACGTTGGTAATCGTGATTTTGTTTCCTATCTCTATCCACCGTATAAATGTAAAAGAAACCTCTGTATAATCGCTGAATATTATGTTTTTGGCTGAAAGAACAAGCACTACTGAGCAGGCGAATGAATAAACTGTTTAAACAAACAATCATTAGCAACTTGTCAAACAGAAGCAACAGGTTGTGCTCGCAAGTCAAACATAATTTAATACATTTTTTATGATAACGCTCTGTCTTATCGTGACGAAGATAATTTTATATGGAAAGTAAGAAGGATTAGGATAGTAATAAAAACAAATATGAAGTAATTAACTAGGGCAGTACCCACCTCTCGCTACATTCCCTTGCCCCACCGGAGCTCCGTTCACTTTGATCCGTCTCCCGTCTGCTGTGCATTTCAAAAGCATATTTCCAACACGCTCACGTCGTGTGATCCATTCAACATCCGATTTCAGCAACAAACGTATCTGAAGATAATAAACACGCAGTTCCTACATAATCTTCGGCGCGAACCGTTCGGTCGCCGTATGTGACGTCAAAAGTCAATTTGAAAGCACTCGAACCGACACAAAAACTTGTTATCTTACTGTCTTAAATAATTGCTCTAACTGTATAGATATGAAAAAAGTTCACAAAACACTAGGAGCACTCAAATTATTTCTTTATATTTTGTAACAACACACAATTAAACAATTTATAAATACAATCTACGAAAGCACGCACCGCTTAATCGTTTCATTTGATGCTATGCGTGAGTCCACTCCACTTGTTAACTGACACCGATCCAACAATCATATCAACGAGTCAACAACAATTTGAAACTGAACTGAAACAGAGTCGAACCGCCAATTTGCAAGTGACAGTGACGTGTCAAAAGTCGGCTGATTGTCAAACGAGAATTCTATAATTTGACAACCCAATGAAGTTTGCTACGGTATAATTTTTTTTCATTATAATTTAAAATTTTTGTTATAATACGAACGAAATAAGGAGAAAACATTATTTAAAGTTTGATTAAAACAAAGTATTTAAATTATAAATTATTTTAAAGGAATTAAAAACATTACATTTTACTGAAATGTCAGTTTGATATACTCTGTCACTCCCCTTTAACTTTCTGTTGACAGCGCGCCATTTTGATACAATCAGAAAAATTGTAAGCGCTTGTCGCCCGGCTATTTGGAAGCATTTGTTAAAGCGTTGAGCATTGTTTTAGTATTAAACTTTTAGATATTTGTATCAGAAATGGGTAAAAAGGACAAAAAAGGCGAAACAACGGATCCATCCAGCGAAGAAGAATACGTCGTGGAAAAAGTACTCGACAAAAAAATAGTCAAAGGAAAGGTTGGTTATGGTTAAATTTTGAATGTTGATGTGTTTGTAAATTAATTTAAATGGACTCCTTATGAAGTCCACCTAAACATTTTTCATTTAAATTTTTAATTATTCGAGACCCTCATAGATTTAATCTTAAAATGCACTTTTTGGATAAATGACGCGGCCTTTTTAATTTCATACTATTTGCTCTTCTGAATTCAGTTATTCAACTGAATGTTATAGGGCAACGCCAGTTTATATATTAACGATTCACTTAGAACCATTAAGCTAGCTATGTAAGATTTAATTAAGCTGTGCGAAACTCTATTTAATATTATTTTTGACATATGTAATGTAGATAAGTAGAATATGCTGACAAAATTCGAATCAGACATTTAAAAGTTTTCTTATGATAAATCATGATTATTATCTGATTGGTTAGATTCTGACTCAAGTGATACAACATACAGAGGAATACTCAGTTTTGAAAAGGTTATTTTTCCTGTGCCAACTTGTAGTGTATTATTTTAGATCCAATATCTGCTAAAGTGGAAGGGGTACAGAGAGGATGAGAGTACTTGGGAGCCTGTTGAAAATCTTGACTGTGAAGAGTTGATCAAAACATTTGAAGAAAGTAGAAAGGAAAAAGAGGTAGGCTTGTTAGACAATGCCTCATGGTATTTGTCCTAAATCTATTTAAAGACAAAAACAGAAAAATACTTATCTTTAAAAATTTTAACTTAAAAATTGCAAATCATTAATTTTGATGTGAAAATTTTAATAATTACTACATCAATTGTTTTGCAATTGAATTACAGTTCATATCAATTCTAAAATGCTAAGATGCTAAAAATTTTATAAAAGTAAAAATATTATTTGATCTAAAAAATATAATAATTTATAATAAAACCAGACAAACTTTTACCATGAGAGATTTAAGAGATGTTCATGAATACGTAGATGTATGATTGTAGAGAAGCGAGAGAGATGTCATGCCAAATAAAGCTCTGCGGTCACTGCCTAAACCTCGAGGTTACGAGTGTGATTTATGTTGCTATAAAAGTTTATTGTTGTTCCATTTAAGAAATCCAAAAAGACGGAAGAACGTGGTAAGAAACGTGTGCGAGAGTCTAGCGTGGAGACAAGTGCGTCAGGCCGCAAAGGCCGAGGCACCAGTGTCTCCTCTGTTGAGGAACCTAAAGAGAACAAGCGGGAGAAAGAGGAAAAATCTGGCTTCGAAAAAGGTTTTAAAGCTGAGAAAATTATTGGTAAGTTTAATTGTGTTAAATTATTAATAACACTTGCATCATCACTTGTATGCAATACAGATTTGTAATATTTATAAACATGTTATGATGGATAAGTATAAAACACTAACTAGTAAAGCTTTTAAAGGTAGGCAACGCATATGCAAATGCATGTGTCTATGGGCAACGGTCACTTCGCTATTTCAGCGATTTCAGGCCGCTAGCTCGTTTGCCACCATTTGATACAAAAAAAAAATAGTAGTTGTGGAGTTGCAGAATTTGAACTCTTACAACTAACATAAATATAAAATGAAAACAATATCACAGCGCAAGCAAAAAGTTTTAACTTATGCAATATTGTTATTTAAACTTTTACTTGAACTCTCTGGAAGCTTAAAACCATACCAAAGTATCTTTATAGTGGTATAAAAGACAGACGGTTAATTACAAAAAGATAAATATTAATCTATAAAAAAAATATATTTGTGCAGGTGCGTCAGATGCTACGGGTGAACTAATGTTCCTAATAAAATGGATGGACTCAGATGAAGCAGAGCTGGTCCCCGCCAAAGTGGCCAACATCAAATGTCCACAACAAGTAAGTTCTTATTGTTTGTTAAAAAGATAAACATAGAATTTACACTACATAAACAATGTTGCGTTATTAAATTCTACTTCTAGCTTTCGTCCAGAGACTCTACTAAAAAACTTAATTAACATTGGTTTCTAAGACCAAAAATCTGTATAAAATATATTGTCATTCGTTTTCTTTGATAAATCAGAAACAAGAATATGTTCCGAACAGGGATTTTGGTCACAAAAAACCATGGTTAGAATCCTATCTGTACTTTCAGACTATCTTCTATATATATGTCATCTAGACCTATACATACTGGAGATACAAACATCCATCTAAACATTTGCATTTATGAGTAAGATTGTGGAAATACCACCAAATTAGTTGTAGAGAAAATTACCGTATTGTAGAAAAAAATATGAGAGAAATATTGAAATGTTCCTCCAAGTACAATTTTAATGAAGAGAAGTGATATCACAATGTTAATTAATGATAATTTTCCAGGTAATTGCATTCTATGAAGAGAGGTTGACATGGCACACTCCGGCCGAGTCTGATTGATAGAGCAAGTTCAAAAGTGCATTTGATTCAGACATTATAAGAAAAATTTACTAAATTTATTGTTTTATGGTTATAAGGGCCCTTATTATAGTTGGTACTGTTCGGTGTGAATGTGTTTGTGTATTTTTTAGTTTCCGATGAACTTTCAAGTCTGCAAATATGTGAATAAAACCTACAATAAAAGTCAAGCCATACAAGTGATGAGTACTTTTTAGTTTAGAGTTAACCTCAGTAATAATGTTTGAAAATTTTTTTTTTTTTCAAAATAATGAAGATTTTTTTTTTTGGAATGTAATGATTTTTTTTGAAACTTAATTTTTTATTTAGAAATTTGAATGTTAGTCTATGGATATGATCAATGTTATAATTATAATAAGCACGATATAGATTTAAATAAATTCTTTTTAGCCACCTTAAAAATTTCAATAACAAAATTTAATGTTTTTGTAAAAAAGTTCTGGCATTTTCATGGATAATTTATGAAATTACAAATTTTTTTTCCTCAACACAATTCCACATATACAATGTTTTAGAACCATGTCTGTTCTACGAATTTGATAAATACTCATTTTGTTTTATAAATTCGAGATTCTTCACATCTAAATAATAAGTAATAAAAAGTTTGCTCAAGAATAATAAATAGTTTTGCATGTAATAAGAGATCATAATCCAACAATTTTTTCATTGTTGATTCGTAGAACATTGTCAGTTGTGTGGTAAAAAAATGAAACCTTTGTAAATGACCATTGTCTGAATATTTCTTAGCAAAAGAGAATATATATATATATATATTTAGAAGTACGTAACTTGTACACAGTACGTCTGTGTAGTTATATGTAACACGCAAGTGATCTTTATAATAAAATTACTTTAGTAAGAATTGTTTTATTTATCACCAATAAAAATACATAAGAATTTATATAAAGAAATACATGTAATTTCTGCTTCATACATAAGTAAAAATTAAATTTAGGAATCAAAACGAGACAAATCTTGGTTATTTCTACATTTTTAATATAATTATGAATATCTTTTTTGTTTACAAAAACATATAAGACAGTAAACATTATAATATGTATGATAGGATAAAAAATATGTACATACAAATGTATGAGAAGTACAGTCTTATATAATTAAAAGCTAATAGTGCGTAGAATGTGTTGATTTTGTTACTAATATTATGCGTATAGTGATTTTTAATATATTTATAATAGAAAAAGTAATAATACGTAATTCAATAGAAAAAAAGATCCAAATTACATTTCTATATATTTTCGGACACTAATAAAAAATTGCATATATCAAACAAAGTATTGCGAAAGTTTAAATATTTTGTAACTAACATAATATATAAAAAAAATCTTTTGGCATTGTGATGCATTATATTTACAACAAAAAAACATAACTATAGTAGAGAAATTGTACATAATTAATGTGCAAATAAAGTCTTAATTACACTAAAATAAGTAGAAAAAAATCTCACAGTAATAAATGCATAAGTAATTAAAATTTTCTTAACAACTAAGTAACCTTAGTAAATCGGATATACGAAGGAGATCGACTGTTTGATAATGATAATATTGATGCGATACATTTTTGTTATCATTTCTAATTAAAATATAAAAATATACGACATCTTGATATAAAAATGTTTTTTCTAAGATGTTAAGATAATTTAAGCTTGATATTTGTAGTCGTGTTTGCTCAGGCCGTTGCTGAAACAAAGTATGTTTATAATTAATACAAAATTTTCATTGTAAATGTCATATTGTCCCCTCGCATCCCGCTCTAACCCAACATACCTAAAATTCTGCGCAGCGACATGCAAGTTAGAAACTGCCAAGTATATAAGTTTAGATTTAAACCATCAGCTAGATTTCAGTCTGTCTGTGTGCACAGCACAGTACCTGAGCATGGCGACGTGTCCGGGCGTGTGCCGCACGAGGGGCGCGAGGCGCTCCGTGAAGCGCTGGAAGTTGCGCTCCAGCTCGCGCTGGTACTCGCGCTGGTCGCTGCCGATCAGGTTCTTGTTCTTGCGCAGCGCGTCGTGACATCTGTATATATATTAAAACTTATTTAAAAACGATTCAACTGTGTCACTGCTGTGTGAGATGTTCAAGATAATACTGAGTCAATTTACAACGGCAAGTTTAAAATAAATTACTTTTTGGAGAAATCTTTGAATGCGAGTCGAAGCTTGTTGGTGAGACGGGTGGGGGGCTGCCGACCCTCCGCCACCGGCGCCAGGAACACCTGACAACAGACAGAATTATTCCAAGTAGACTTAAATCGAAAATACGTCATGAAAATGTTAAACAGATTCATCGGAATATAAAGTTTTTGTTAGTTTATTTAGATTGCTTAATTACTGGTTACTATGTTGATATGAAACAACAAAGCCTTTTGTAGAGCACATGGTCCTTCGTGGCGGACACGTGTGTACCTGTGCGAGCTCTAGAGGTCCCTGGTTGACGGTGGTGCCGATGCAGCCCTGCACCACCATCTGCAGCATCTTGGGGTCCGCAGGCTCCTGGCAAGTCGCCGCCGCCAGCTCCGCGATCTGACACCATTGAGAATTTCTCATTTTTATCATATCAAATTTTTTCGTATTAAAACCAAATGAAAAATGAAACTGTCGATGAATATACTTCAGATATAAGAAATTGTTACCTTCTTTTGTATATCTTCAATAGCAACCTCGATGGGTGAGAGGATTATTTGAGTTCGCTGTACAACCTGTCAATAATACAAGTCGAGTCAAACAAGGATATCTGAGCCGATGATTACTTCTTGTAGAATATATATAATATATATATATAAAACGCTGCTTAGACATAGAAAATGACTTAAAAGAGACAAAGTGACATGACATCTACAATACAATTTGACGTGGACGGGGGGGTGGGGGTGGCGCTAGTGAGCTGTCATAATTAAATTTGATTTATGTCCACAGTGTAGTGTGCGAGAGTACCTGTATACGTGTCTTGACGTATGGGAAGTGGTGAGCGGTGGTGAGTATGGTCTTGCGCTTGCACTGCTCCGCCAGCGAGCCATGCGCGCGCCCGCCCACTGTGAACGGCGTCGCGTACATGAACCGCTCTGTGCACAAACGTCACATCATCAATAGTTGAACATGAACACTAAAATAATGCAAGCATAAAAAAGTTTATTTTCTATCATATAGCGACCTGAATTCGCCGAATTAGCTACATGACCTGCCTATATACAGTGTGTGGATAGGAAAAGATGACTAAGTTATGGTCATCATCAGATACTCACTGATGTTATAATTGCGCTCGTAGTGCGTGATGCGCTTGCGCAGCTCGTGTGGCTCGAAGTAAGGCTCGACGTAGGTGATCTGTATGTACGCCTTGTCGGGCTCCAGTGTCGCGGGGTCCACCGTGTTAGAATCCTTTATTATCACCACATTGTCCGCCCCGAAACGAGATCCGTAGAAGTTCTGAAACAATTCCACAAATTTGTTATTTAAGTTACAGCGTTTATTTACTTCGATTACTCATTTAGTTGACTTACTAAACTCACTATTTCTTATATATTTTTTATACTTAAATACATTATTACTACATTTGAGAGATTAGAAAACTAGAAATTGTCTGTCTCTTTCTAACGTACTTTGTACCCGTATAGCGCATACGTGCGCGTACGCGTGCATGTGTTTTCGTATACGTGTGTGTATAGATAGATGTGTGCGTGTACAATCACCTCCAGCCTGCTGAAGATCTCTGGCAGCTTGGTGAGGGCGTGCTCCTTGTATATGAACTCCTCGGCGTGCAGGTCGCCGAAGCGCGCGCCGTAGAAAGAGACGCGGAAGTATGAACCGAACACGCGCTTGCCGTGCAGCTGCTCGATGCGTGTAAACGCCTCATTTAGTTTCCTTTAAAGAGACAAAGATCAAATAAAAATATATTTATAAAGACATCTGGAGTAATTAGATGGCTGTAGTGAGTACCCGTGTATGTTGGCCAGCTTCTTGTAGTCGCGCTGTTCCTCAGCGATAGGTATGAGCACCTTGTACACCTCGTTGACAGCTTCATACATGCCCGCCGCCATCAGCTCGCTCGCTGCGTGCTCCAGCAGCGCCTGCGCACACAAACACAGAGTATATAGTTCAACACCAAATGAATATTAAAAATTCACCTGAATATTTGTTATATCGCTACAGTGTTGTTGGAGGTACCTGCAGCTCCTGGTGCGTGAGGTGATGATGCAGGGCGTCAGCGCAGCTCTCGTCGAGTGCGTTGTGTGTGACACGCTGCAGCAGCGCGGCGCCACGTCCACCTGCATTCAGCTGCTCCGCCGCCAGCGCCGCGCCGTGCACCAGGCACATGCCTGCCTCCAGGTGGTTCGACCTCTGTCACATTACATTACTTTTATCAAAACTACTGAAGATAGTTAACTCGTACTGTCCACTAAATTCACTTAGTCGTCACCTCCATATGTTTCTGCGCCATGTTGTTGAGCCAGGTGAGGCGCAGGTCGGGGCTGTGCTGGTAGCCGCGCGCGATGCGGTGCATCAGATCCAACAGCATCTCGGGGTCCTGCTGGAATTCCTTCATCTTCACCGTGTCGCTCAGGATCATGTGCAGGTTGAACACCAGGTCTTTCACCTTGAAAAAGTACAAAGAAATACACGCTTCTTTCACAAGCAAGGAAGACGTCTCCACCATATATAGGCGTGGCATGTGCGCATGTGGGTGTTACCTGCTCGGGGAAGGAGGTGTCCTGCAGCTCGACGTCGCGCTCAGCGTACACGAGCACGGTCTTGAGCGCGCGCCGCAGCGCCTCCTCACTGAATGTGGCGGACGTGCCCACCAGAGATGACAGCGACATCGTCACTTGCATCTTTACACGACTGAAGTTCTGTAATAAAAAAATAATTAGTGTTTATTCTACTCATGAGTGTACTCTTGGGAAGGTATTTGTGAGTGCAGTGCTAACATTGCCAAGCTGGTAGTGCTGACGCATGAGGGCGTAGAGCGTGGCGGAGGCGTGCGCGCGAGTGCCGGCAGCCAGCGCGGCGCAGTGCCGCAGCAGCACGCGGCAGATGCCGGACTCCTCGCCGCAGCACGACCATCCCAACTGAAACAACACATCACATCATTGTTTTCATATGAATATTTTCAATGTTTGCAAATTAAATAGGAGTAATTGACCGTTTATAAACAAACTATTACAGTAAGTAGTGTTCTTACCTTGACTATGAGAGCGCGCACGGAGGCGAACATGTGCTGCAGCACGGGCGCGCTCTGGTCACGTTGCAAAGCACGCAACAACACGCCCAGCGCCGCACTGCACGCTGTCTGACCCCACTCCAGCCCGCTCACTGACTGCACACACAAAATACAAACAATTCATACTCAACAATTCCGCTGCGATATACTAGCTTCCCTTTAATACTCTTTATACCTGTACGATGGTCTCTAGCGCGTGCAGCAGCGCGAGGGCGAGCTCAGCAGCGAGTGCGGCGGCGAGGGCGGGGTGTGGGCGGGCAGGGGAGGCGGGGCGCGAGCGAGCCCCGCCCCGCACCCACTCCTTGCGCCACCGCTCACGTCCGCCCCGCCCCCCGCACCCGCGACCTGACGAACCACCTTCACAACACACACTTATGTTAAACTATATACAGAAGATTAAGTAGTGACAGTATCTTTTAAATCTTTATATATCATGTTGTATATTATAAAAAAAAATCTTACCTTTACGTCTCATAATAAAGTCATTGCGAGCGGAGCCCTGTCCCAGTATAACGTCCTCTAGTTTCGCTTTAATATCTGTTGTCTTACGAACATTTTGCTGCGCACACTTTAGTATTTCTTTACGACCCTGAAAGCAATGAAATTTATATAGAACTGATTTTGTCGTATACTCTAAAAGAGTGCAATTTCGTTCCGTTGCAAATCTATTTAATTTGGTATAGTTATTACCTTGTACTCGTGACACTTGAAGCAAAGGTCAAGGAGGGCCAACAGCTGATGCAGACGTGGTGCTGGCAGGTCAGCGGCGCAGGCAGCCAGCACGTCACGCGACGTCCACTTGAGCACCCAGGCCAGACACATCAGCAGGTTGCGGCTCGTCTCACTGTTGAACGGAGGACGACCGTTCTGAAAAACATTCAAACATAACGATAACACATATATAAAACGTAAAATTTGGTCAACCAAGTTAAGACAGTAAGCATTACCTGTTTAAAATCTTCCGGTGATGATGTGATGTAGAAATTGCCGAACTGACTTAATTCACCGTCTAATTGTAATGATTCTGAAAAAAACAGTATAATTAAAAAAACCTAAGTATCACCCGCGACTCCGTCCGCGCGAAATTAAAAAAAACATTAATTGGTAGTCTATGTGTTCTTTAAGACTATGTTCTATATCACTGCGAAATTTCGAGATCAGTGCAGTCGTTCTGTATATACCTTCTTACGAATCAGCATCCATCAATCCATTCAAACTGTACACTACTAGTAAGAAGTAGGAATGTAGGAGTGGTTAGTTAGTGGTGAGTGTACCTTTCCCGGTGGTGAATCCTCTGTGCAGCTGAGGCTGCGCGTCCATGACGATGCCGAGCAGCGGCAGGTAGAGGCTGGCGACGCGTGCCTTCAGTGCGGCGGGCTGCAGGCGCGGGTCTGCGTCGTGCGCCGTCAGCAGCGCCAGCACACCGTTCACCGCCGCCTGCTGCAGCACCGGGCTCCTGCACACACACACACACATCTCTTCTTTTCAAATTTACGACTCGTAGGACCATTTGCAACGCTTCTCATATTGCAATACTTTCCTGATAGAATAATATGAATTTTGATCCCCTTACCCTTTAAAATCCTGTCTTATAATGACAGGATGGCAAAAGGAAAGAAAGATTTAGAAGCGCTTAGAAAGGAGAAATATCCTCTTTCTATGCGTTCTCTTCTCCGTCGATTAAAGGTAAACACCGCACACAATTGCTAATAGACAAAATAAAATGAAGTTGTCTTACAAGAGTATTTGTTCAAAAGGTAAAACTGCGATGGAATATATACTGACTGCAGTTCTAACGCCGAGGTGAGATCAGCCAGCAACAGTCCGGCGAGGTAGTGCCGCGACCGGAAGTCTGCGCTGAGCGCCAGCGGGGGCGCCTGCGAGGTGGAGCCCGAGCGCGGGGAGGCGCCTCCGCCCCCCGGGGTGCACTCCGCCTCCAGCAGCTCCCCCTCCCCGCCCGCAGGCAGGCACAGCGACACGTAGTGCTCGTGCGAGCAGATGATACGGAGGAAAGCCAACTGCAACATCAACAAATATTCTTCAAAATGCATTATCAACTTAGCTGACTTGGTAATATTTTATTTTTTATTGCACTTAATTCTGTAAGAAACATTCACTGCGTTACTCAAAATTGTGTTAAAATTACTCTATCGGTCTTAACCATAGGGTAGATTAACGATTACTAAATCTACAATAAGGGATACCCTTAATTGTCACTTTATGACATGGACGTGGACGAAGGATGACCTTGTAGTGCACGAGAGGTACAGCATCCGGGAGGGAGGCGATCTTGGCGGACATCTGCTTGTGGTAGCCGCGGACCAGCGCCAGCACGTAACCGCGGTCCATCACACTCAGCAAGTCAAACAGGAAGAAAGCCAGACTGTTGTTGAGGCTCTGCGTCAGGCGGCTGTTGCTGCCGTAGCTGTACAAATACAGACACCTTGGGATTTAATATTTTAAGTAAATTATTCACTGTAGTTTTCTGAGACCAAAATCTCTGTATGAAACATATCGTCATCCCTGTCATTATAATTGACGAAACAGAGAAAACCACACGTTTTAAATGAGGATTTGGGTCTCAGAAACCAGCGGTTAGTGAAATATTTTAATTTTCCAACTGCCATTAGTTGAGTGGTCTATCTTAGTGATCACTTAATGACTCTGAGTACTAAGAAAATAATTTTAAATTAGATCTAAAATATAATATTTTAAAGGTATTTCTTATTAAAAAAACTAGCAACCATATAAGAATTCGACAATACCTGGAGATGATCTCTGCGGTGACGTTGTTAACGAGTGTGGTGAGGTCGTCAGTGAACTGGTCGGGGAAGCGCGCCTTGCGGGGAGCCTCGTGCGCGCCGCTCCAGTACAAGTACTCCACCATCGACTTTATCATCAGCTCGAACAGCGACCTGACAATATTGATATCATTTAATTATATGCTGTCTCTGTTCTCACAAACAGATAGAAAGAGATGACAATATTTGTATATTCTTTTTGTGCTTATATAGCTGGAACTAAACAAGCTATCCAATCTGAACGTAGTCACAATACTGTTAAATTTACTTAATTAACTTAACGCGCCTGTATATATTCCCGACAATTAATTCTATCTCTTATGACCGTCAGTGCTAAAAGGCGAAAATCAAATAAGAACGACATATCACGGTTTATAGCCCGTCCATATATAGAGGTCAGTGATTTACATCATAGAGATATGTTTGTGTGTCGGTTACCATGAGTTGTGCATGGCGAGGTCTCTGGTAGCTCCGCTGGCCACCACCCACTGCAGCGCCAGCTCCTCGTGCAGGATCTTGCATGAACCGTCGCTCATCACTACATTTACAACAACATTTGAACCTTATTAACACTACTGTAAAATTGACGATAAAAGTTACGAAATAAGTTATTTTGTTTAAGAAATTTTCTAATATAAGTACTTATAGTTTCTCTTCAGTATCTATATTGTATCTTGTAATTATACATATTGAAAAAAAAAGATTGTTGGTGATGTTACCGGAGGGCGGCAGAGGCAGGCCGATGTCAGCGTCGGCGAGTGATGGTCTGGGGATGGTGCACTGGTACTGCACATAGCAGGTGATGAGGCTGCTGCGTCCGTGTGCATCACAGGACGCACCTTCGTTCATATTCTGTAAAAATGTAGCCACAATGTCAATTTATAAATAAAAAAAAATTATGTCTATGTGTTCTTTCAAACTATGCTCCCCATCTATGCCATATTTCAGCGAGATCCATACACTAGTTCTGGAGATACCATCTAATAAACATCCATCCATCTATACATTTGTATTTATGATGTTAGTAATTTCTAGATTTAAAGTGTAAAATGTACTGTAGCTGATTAACATTTAGTTTTGTGAACAGAGTTAACATACTGTGATGTCGGTGAATATCTGTGCGAGGCAGGTGAAGACGTCCTGCGCGATGTTGAGCGTGTGTCCGGCGAGTGCGGGGGGCGCCGCCAGCAGCTGCACCAGCTTGTCACACACCACCGGCAGGTACCGCGCCACCACCTCCACGTTAGCGTGACGCAGCTCTGATATACTGCCACACCACAACCAACACTATTAGTTCTCTCAGAATACATATAAAACCTATTTAGACATCGAAAATGACAAAAAAATAAAAAATAACATGTCAGCTACAGTATACAGAGGATTATTTGACATTTTTGACGTTAGCTGAGGGGCGCTAGTGAGCTGTCAATTTAGTGTCATTAATATCGTTACAAAAGTACAAATTTAACTAAAAGGATAATACCTGGCGCGCAGCTCAGCCTCCATGTTGGCGAGTCCTATCCTCGGAGGAATGTTGCCCTCCTGTACAGCCTCGCACGCCATCGCAAACCTCTCTATGTACCCGTCCTGTGTATAATATGTATTATTAGTTTAATGAATAGACGCTAGCACCAAGTGTACGTCTTCCAGCTATTAAAAAAAAGTATTTTTTTGTAATGAACAATTTATTCACTACCTTTTAAAAAAAATAATCTCTTTTTTAGTCTTATTTTTGAATGAAATTTAATGGACGCCGTTGTTATGACTACAGAATACTTTGTACATAAAATTAAATATTTGTTATACAAAAGAAGTTTACTTCCCAATAAATACTACATTTTCAAATCTCCTTTTACATCAAAATCTATTTAATTGAGAGTAAAAGTGAGGGAAAGAGAGAAACAGGGAGTGGCAGAGAAAGACTCTTAGGTTTCCTCACCAATGGGTGCACGGTGGTGTGAGCGTCCAGTGATATGGTGAATATTGGTTTGTGGTTGTCTATCCAGCGCGTGCCGGGCAGCAGCACGTCAGGGAAGATGTAGCTGTAGTTAGGCGGCGGCTCCTCCTGCATCACCGGCAGGCTGAACTCTCCGCACGTCAACTTCCCGTTCCGGCACAGCGGCAACCACTGGAAACAGAAAATAAACTGTTATTGTCGAAGACGATCTACATAAGCGAGAAACTTTTGTGGACTCTTTTATAATGTAAATTAAAACACAAAGCAAATCACGGCTGTAATCCAAAGATTCAAACTCATAAGTTTAAGGTTTGTCTTCTCACGCCATTTTTCTTACAATCTTTTGATTAAGATACAAGAGAGAGAGAGAGAGAGAGAGACAGATATATTTTTGTTAACTCACCGAGTACCCGACAGGGGTCTCCACACTCTTCTCCTGCTCGGGTGGGACGGGCTTCCTCTGACAGGAGACGTGCAGGAACGTGAACAGCAGATGGTGCTGGTCACCCAAATCCGCAGGAAGCTTCAACTTTATCTCATCGTATAGAGATGGATTCCTGGGAATCAATAAATATGATTCTTAGTTTTCCATTTTTAAGTGTGTCTTAAGCAAAATATGAAATGATTGGCAATATTTATTTATAAATCATACTTGTTGTGATAGAGCACAGTTGTGTACGCCTCAGTGCTGAACTCGGGGCAGGAGCTGCGGCCGAAGATGGCCGGCAACGCTGAGGCTTGCTCCTCTCCACACATCAGTTGTACACGGACCTGTTCACAATTGTACTTTGATGTGCACAGATAAGACAAGACATTGGGAAACTGGCAAGTGTAGTCAAAGAATCAATTTACCTTCCCACTTAGAATGGAGTGTTTTATAGTAAACTACAAGGAGCCATACATAAATTACATCACGCGCATATCATGATTTTTTGACCCCCTCCTCCCAGCTAGTGTAATGTCACAAATTTTACAAAAAAGTGTGGCGGCATTTATCAAAATATATACTAAAAAAATATGACGTAACCAAATTTGGGGCTTCTCGTCACATAATGTCGCAGTTCTTCGACCCCCTCCCACCCCCATGATGTGTGCAATTTATGCATCGACCCTAAGGGCTGCAATTAAACCCACATATATGCTATGATAAATTTTGAGATTTCTCTGAAGATATAAATAAGTATGAAATGGTATGTACTGTGATGTTCCTGGCGGATCCAGTGCGCGAGGTGTAGGCGGCGAGGTTGAAGTCTCGCACCCACAGGTAGAGCAGGTTGCGGTACTGCAGGTGCGGCGCAGGAACACTCTGCGGCGGGAACCCCAGCACCTCCTTGCAAGGTCGCACGCCCTCGTCTGATGCCATACAACACAGTAAATATCTCCCTCCTTCTCTTTTAATACAAAGCTAAATAAAATCCTACAACTTTTATAATTAGTTTGGAAGAAAAGTACTAAAAAAAAGAAAAATGTAGTATAATCTCGGTATTTAAATTTTTATAAACATTTTTACCTCCATAAGGATTCAATTTAGCTAATTCCGGTGTTAAGCCATTCTTGATCTCATCGGGACAGGGCGACACTTCAATCTTCAGTGTTCCGGGAATGCATTTCAACTTCTTAGGCGCTGAACTGGGTCGTTTTATTTCGGCAAGAAACTTGTACAAATCTTCATCACGAAGTTTGTCAGTTTCCTAAAAGCGTTGATATAAAAAAATGTAGAAATTTATCAAATATATTTTAAATTATATCTTTGTAGCATAATTGCTGCTATAATTTTCGCAGGCGCCAACAATGTTTGAATTTTTATTTTTTTTGTTTTATTAATGAAGTTACCTGCTTAAAGAAGCTGGTGACAGTGATGACGATAGGTTTGAAGGTGTCGAGATGTGCGACCAGCTCGTCCGCCTGCTGTGCGGGCAGCGCACGTCGCTCTATGGAGCCCTTGCGTGTCAGAGAGCCGCCCACCTCGCCGGCGCGGCGACGCAGCTGCTCCAAACTGCTGGATGACGCCTTGCGATCTATTACATACAAAAAAAACTAGTATTTCAGTATAATTAAAAATAGTAAACAGAAATTACAATATGTATTACATCAGATAACGGTATGAAACAGTTCAACTCAAAGAAATTAACATTTTTGTATGGACAATCTTACTAATATTGTAAATGCGAATGTTTGGATGGATAGATGTTTCTTAGAACGTATCTTTAGAACGACTGCACGAGTCGCCCAGAAATTTGGCATAGATGTAGATCATAGTTTGGAAGAACACATAGGGTATTAATTACATTTTTTTTTAATTTCACACGGACGGACGGAGTCGCAGTCGACAGCTAGTATATTACTTACCTAGGCTGTTGGTGTTAGCATTGTTGTTGTTGTTGGGGAGGGCGTCCTTGTCCGCGTCGCGCTCAAGACTGTTGGAGCCGCTCAGGATGTTGAGCAGAGACACGGCGCTCCAGCACAGCGGCATGCGGTACTTGCCCAGGCGGTTGCACGCCGCCTGCGCACCCGCACGCACTTTCTCACGGTTCTAGAATAAAGGGTAATTTATAAGTGGTAGAAAAAACAATAAAATAGTATATATCTAGATTATTAATAGACTACCATTAATTCCAGTTCAAAAAATAATTGTCGAGATCCTTCATTCGCATGGATTCGTCGAAGTTTAGATCCCGTTTCCACTAAGCAACTAACCATACGCGTATAGTCAAAGATATCTGAACCGGTGAGAGGAGCTGCTAGCGCAGTTGTTTGACATGACAGCTATAGTACAAAGAGCCTCTTGACATTACTTGACGTTGACAAGGGGGCGCTAGGAAGCTGTCATTATTTAGTTTGACTGTTGCTCATCAGTTCAGAAAGCCTTGTCGGTCAATATAATCGAATACTAACACTGACATAATAGATTCTTGAAGCAAACTGTCAAAATTAGTAAAAAAAACATAAAATTGAACTTCATAAAAAAGTAAAACATACCTTATCGTCTTTAATATAAGGTTCAACACATTCATTGACATCTCCCTGCAGAACTTTCTCGACTCTGACGACGAGGAATATATCAGGCGAGGGGTTGACGATGTCAAAGACAGCGCTGCGGCTCAATGTGGACACGTCAGCGTGGGCCACGTGTCCTGACAACATCTGACGTGTGCTCTCCGAATTTAAGTTGAAATAGAAGTTTTCTGACAGTTTCTTTTTTTCTTTCGCATCAAATAATGCCATAGAAGCGAAAAGAGGTTCCACATCTAGTTCCAACCTAGAAAAAACTTTATATTTAAGGATTTTCAATTTAAAACTTTGTCTAAATCATATCAGGAAACAAATATTAAGTAAACGAATACATCTATGTCAAGTAAAAGTCTGTTCGGTGTTTACATACTTGAGCTGATGGCAGACAACCAATATCCTGTGTCCCATCACCTCGCAGGGCATCTCGGCCGCCAGCCGGCGCTCCACCGCCTCCTCCTCGTCCAGACAGGGGGAGTACAGCCCCAGCAGATCCGCCTGACGGTTCTCCAACCTGATATAAACAACTTTACCATGACTTTACTGTAATAATATTAATACATGTATGGATATTTGCTAAGGGAAATATACATTTAGAAATGGTTTGAATAAGTTATATTATGTATCTGTAAGTTATAAGTAGAATTAACTTACATCACAACATTTTTCTGAAACCAATATCCTAATTTAAAATATTGTTGTCTCTGTTTTGGGAAAGATAATGACAGTGATGATTTTGGTGTCAGGAACCATTAGTAAAAAATTATGTTAGCCAATTTTTTGTACATTTTTTAAATTGAAATCTATGTATACCTTCTAGCCTCATTTAATGCGTCCATTTGCTCTGGAGGTTTCTTCTCGAAGAGATCAGGTATGAGAGGATCAGAGGAGGAGCTCTGCAAGTCGAGGCTGGCCCAGGAGCCGCGCGGGGTGAGAGTCTCATTGCATGACAGCGAAGATGTTATTGAAGCTACTGACTGTCGACCACTTGATGGCTGAGATTCAAATTGCTGTGGATATATAACAACATTGATAATGCTTTAAAATAGAAAAACTCTAATTTACATCTGTAGTTTGTGAAGTATAAAAGTTGAAAGCAATCATAAAAAAAAACTTACCCAGTCCGTAAATTATAATAATAAAAATGTCTTTATATTGATTATTTTATTCATTCCAACAAAAAGCAAAGTACAATCCTCATCACAGTAACTCACTTGCTGCAAAGCTAAATCATCAAGCACTGCACATGGCTCCGCGTCCACTTCATAGTAATGCGGCGGTGCGCTGAGCAAGCGCTCGAGCCGCTCGGCGAGCCGCTCGCGACCGCCCGCCGAGCCGGAGTACATGCGGTACTTGTACTCCACAACCGTGTAGTCTGATGTATAACATCTTATACAGTCACGTACGAACATCGGCGCCTTCGTCCTGTAAAGTTTTTTGAATTCTTAAGACTAAAGCACTGAGAGTTCTGATTGTAGTCATTTAAAATTATATACATACATTAATGTGGCAAACATTTTGGCATTAAATGTTGCATAGTACTTTGATTTTGAAATTTAATAAAAAAAGGGTCTTGACAGACGGATGGACGGACAACAAAGTGATCCTATAAGGGTTCCGTTTTTTTCCTATGAGGTACGGAACCCTAAAAACTATAAAAGCAAAGTTTATGTTGATAACTTACAGGTCTTCATCAGGCAGTATATGCTTTAAGGTCCGTATCCTACGGGGCACGGTGACCAGTTCAATGTCATTGGTGGGGTATGCGAGCGGGTCCTTCTCCCCCATCAACCGCTCGCACACCTCCTCGTAGTCCGGTGGCTCGATCATGTCGCACAGAGATATCTGCAAAAACACTTGTGTTACATTAAATTCAAAGACAGTCATACCCAAAGTGTTCCAGATGAACACATGGGATCCGAGAATGGCTATAGGTGATGAGAAAATGTTAAACAAGAAACATAGTGGCTGTTTGTTTACTGATATCCAAAAATTTTTAAAAGAAGTCTGAAAAAAGTTTTAAAATCTTTCTTCAAGGTTTTTTTTCCATTTGTATATGTATTCCAATTTCTAATACAATTGTTATAATTTGTTTTTTTTTAATTGACCAGTGGCTCACAGTCTTGTCTCACTAGAGAAAAACAATCTTGCTTGTAGATTTCTAAATTATGGTTCAAACAATTTCAAGTAGATTTTGAAGTTGGTTCCATGATCACTATCCAGTTTCATGGCTTTAAGGTAAATACAATATCAAATGATAAAGAAGACCTACCTGGATTTAGATTAAATAAGAATGATCTCATTTACAAAATGGCTTATGGCTTTATAACATAATAGTATTGTACTAATTGCATGTAGTAATATTACACAGGTGGATATAGTAAATTATGTAAATTAGTTCTATGTTACAGCATTGCTTAATAAATACATTATTACTAAGTAAATATAGTTATTTAGCATAAAGAATTAATAACTAAAATTGTTTCAGATCTTACATAACGTACTACATAAAAATAATATAATCAATAAGACATATTAATACATTCCATTCATCATCATCATATTCAGCCCTAATTCATCCATTGCTGAATGTAGGCCTCCCCCATCGATTGCCACAATGCCCGGTCCAGTGCCATTCATATCCAGTGCACTTCATAACTCAATATTATACTTACCTGTTCAAAATATTAAATGTATCTTAATACATATTCTTGTATATTTTATTACTTAGTCAATAATCAATTTAATAACTTTATTGTCTCTGTTAAAGAAGACTCGGAACAGTTTAACCCGTTATCATTTTACATATTACGGTAATATTACGTGTTAAGATTTGAGGTAGACAGCTGCATTCGATCATAAAACAAAACAATAAATTATTTAGTTGCATAGCCACTAAATTCGCATGCTATTCTGTAGGAGGAAAATAAAGGTTGATAAGATTCTCCTCTAGGAAAATTTTATTGAAGCAATAAATAGCTCTGGAAGGGAGTAATACAACAAAAGACGTGGCATTTAAGTTTTACTTTATTTTAATTTATTTAATTCCAAATGGTTACAATAAATTGAATAAGAAAATTTTAAATTTACAGGCAACATGCATTAAAGTCACAAACATATTATAGTCTTTTGCATGCGAATCGATCATATTATGCGGCATGCAATTTATTTAGTGAAACTATAAGGTATGCGTGATTCATAGGCAGCACCGAATATGTTTATAGACTTACTGAAGAGGAGCACCCCGAAAGAGAACCCGACTTCGACTGGCTAGCATAGACCTTACGAGTATCCCCAGCATTCCTATAAATAGGGAAAAATCAATTCTGATATATTTATATTGCTCCTGACCCGAACTTCATGCATCAATAACCAGCTACACCCCTATAAGGATTATTAAAACCATTTACCCGGAACAATTCTGATATTTGCGTCCCAGTGTCATCTAAATGCAGCACCTTACAGTTTTCAAGCAAAACTGTTTTATGTTAACACTTATTTTATATGCAATATAAAAGTTAACGTATTGTTTATAGAAACATTTCAATTTCAACAAACATCGATATTTATTTGACAGTTGTCAGTTATTTTTGGCAGCTTTCCAATCAGTATTGTCAAAGAGTATTGTCGTGGATATGGGCTATTTCGCCCAAAAAGTATTTTTGTAAAATGATTTACTTTTTACTCTTACAACGAAATATTTTGTAATTTTTTCATTATTCTATTATTATTTCAAAATTTGTTTACTTTTAATACGAATAACTTATATTTCTTATATAAAGAGCCAGAAAGATCATTTTTGTTAATTAAGTTCTTACAAATAAAACAAGTAAAGTATTTTTAACTTGTACTTTGAAAGAGATTATAATAATCGGCTTAGCTATTGAAGAAATCTATTTACAGCGTTCTCTAAAAGTTAATTTCAATATTTCTATTTTACTGTAGGTAAATTTACGATAATATTATTCAAATTATAACTGGCACCGAGGGAACCGACGCATTCCTGGAATTTCTATAAGAAAACAAACCAAATTTTAAGAAATATTTTTTCGTAGTTTTAAAAATTATTAGTAAAGCGTTGGCGGCCCTGGGGTTAAACACTTGACTAGTAATCTGCTGGTCCTGGGTTTGAATCCGGCTACGTACGTAAGTGTTTTTTGATTTACATATTATGTACATTTATCTGACATTGCTAACGGTGAAAGGAAACACCGCGATGCAATCATATATCAGCAAAGAAATTTCAAACCAAGTTAGTGTCAAGTATGGACTGAGTAGAGCCAAAGAGTTTCGCATTTAGAAATCTGAAATCTTGCATAATAAGTTTATCACAACTTATTAAATTATTGTAGGTTGACATAGAATAAAACAAATAAGTTAGACATGTAATTTGATAAAAAATAATCTCTATCAATTCAATTTAGTGGATCTACAGCATTAAATTTTAAATCATAAACTCATACTTACAACTGTATACTTGCCCGAATAAGGCAAGAGCCGGTTGCTGGTTTTGTAAGCACGTTTTGGACAAAGCATATCCAAAACTGAATTTTTTCACGTGGAATATAATATTGGGTAAGTATATAAGAGAAGCCAAATAATAGGTAAGCAGTTAAAGGTTGGAAGTTTAATTAGTTTCCATGTTCGGTTCTGTCGAAAAAGGATTAAAACTTTTCACGTGGGCAATGTTTCTCAATCTTTTCAGATAAGTTATAAAAGTTGCAAAACGCCGTTCAATCACGAGGACATAAAACGTGCATTACCAAAGGCTTTGTATATTTTAGATTAGGTAAATCTGTAATAATTTGCATATCCGCGTTTACTATGTTGCATTTTTACCGTGAAAAAGTATCCTACATTAATCTGTTCAATTGTCGACTATCGTCGCCTCGGTAAAGAGTTATGTAGATCAGCCGTCAGCGCAGGATTCAAATCACGTGCAAACCTCACGTTTTTCGAAATCTGACAGTTGATGACGGGGCAGGGGTAGGTGGGAAGCGGAGGGGAGAGTTGGAACATTGGTAATCCGCAAGGTACTCGCGGTCGCGGGCTAATTGGATGTAGGGTCGCGTGGCTCGGTCGGGCTTCGCGGGCACGCGGCTGGCGGCATTACGCACAAAAACCGCTACTCAATGGCGAAATATTGCCTCCATCTACATTAACTTTATACAGTGATCTTGGAATGCTATAAATAAATATAATTATTATAATTTTAAGCAAAATTAAACTTTTTATATTTTCTAAATATCTGTTTCTTTTAGTTATAGAATATATGTATGCATTTTACATAAATGCTTTTGTTAAATAATTTTACTAGACTAAAGTTAAAATAAAACTTAATGAGTAGTCTATGTGTTTTTTCCAGACTATGTTATGCAACTGTGCCAGATTTCAGCGAGATCTCATCTGCCGTTCTGGAGATACCTTCTAATAATCATCCATCCATCTAAACTTTCGCAATTATAATATTAGTAAGATGTGACTCGAGTTCACAGTGTAACTGAATTAAAGTCTCCGCTCGACACCAGCCCCGCCCTGCGTCGGACAGGGGGTTGCGAACTCACCCCCAGCTCCCAGTGCCGACCCGGCAGCCTCCCCGTGCAGACGTCCCGGCTATACGACCTTTGGAAATAACACTTTGACATTTAACAAATTATGAATTAAAAAAGTGATGTTTTTTAAATAAAAAAAGTGCTGTAAAGTGACTCTATAAACTTTAAATAAAACTAAATGACAATCTAGTTTTTTTATTCTCTAATTCGGATATTTTCTAATTGGTTATTTTGATGAGTATTATGAACTCAATAAAAAGTATTGCTTAACTGATAAAGTTTAAGTGTTAAACCAAGTATTCCATAGTCTTCTAAACTGGGACAATAATATTGGACGAGCAACAAGTGACTGAAGCTAAACCACTCGATATGATTCTATACGGCGTAAGTAATATCATGTTTTATATAACTTCATTTCAGACTAGCAGTTGCCCGCAACTTCACCTACAAGGAATTTCAAAATATCTAGTAATAAATATAGCCTTCGTCATCTGAGGATAAAGTAGGTTCTCCATAGTGAAAGAATTTTTCAAATCGGTTCAGTAGTATCGGAGCCTATTCAATGCAAACAAACGAACAATAAAATCTTTCTTCTTTATAATCTTAGTATGGACAAGATATAACTATAGAATTAAATGGCTCTATTGAGAGAAATGCACAACAACAGTAAAAGAAAGTATTTATATAATACACTGTTACAAGCGTGATAAAATGATAATTATGATTATCTGACTATCATTGTAATCATCATCATCAGCTCGCTATACATCCCCACCGTGGGGCTCCGTAAGCCGTATCCTAAGTAGGGGATGACCATTATAATATGTAGTTGGATTGGATGGATTGGATTTTTCGCTGTAGACATTTTATGTTACTATTTTACTAATATGTTGTTGATGCGGATGTTTGGACGGAAGTATGTTTCAACGTATCTCCAGAACAGCAGAATGGATCTTGATAAAATTTGGCATACGTATATTGTGTAGTCTGGAAGAAGACATAGGTTACTAATTATAGTTTTTTTTTTAATTAAACGCGGACGGAGTCGCGGGTGACAGCTACCTTAATATGCCGACAGCTAAGAATGTTGCCAAAATAGAGAAGAATTTAGAAGAATATTGTAACGTAACATTGTCACCTTCATCATCAGCTCACTATACGTCCCCACCGAGGGTCTCGGAGCCTACCCTAAGTTAAGGGTGATTAGGCCATAGAGAACCAAGCTAGCCAAGTGTGGAAAAATACATTGGTACATGGCGGGATTCGAACCCAGGACCTACAGATTGCAAGTCAAGTGCTTGACCCCTGAGCCACCGACGTTCTACAACATTGTCACATACTTCTTTTATTAAATGTTGCCTCTAATTGAATTTGTATGTATCGAATTTTATAAATAAGCATAAAATTACCCTTTATTGTTCCCTAAAGTCCCATTCTAATAAAAAGTTCGGTATAAAAGTAACTAATCATCTAATACATTGTATTATAACTTCGTTTGTTTGTTTAATTTCTTCACCTCAATGGCGGTTGGAATTTAATTTGTTAACATAAATCTCAATGAGTCGTCGCTTTCTCGGTTAATTCAAATAACGTGATAGAAATAAATTTCCATTTTGTAATCCGGAGGCTTTCTTAATTTGAAACATTGTTGGTTGTTAGTAATTTTCCTGAAAACTGAGGTAAGAAAATATCATCATCATCAGCTCACTATATATCCCCACTGATAGACTTGGAGCCTACCCTAACTTAGGGGTGACTGGGCCATTGTCAACCATGCTGGCCTAGTGCGTGTTGGTTCACAAGATAGACAAGAAAATAACCTTTTTAAGAACTATGGCAGATAATTATTTGAAAAACAAAAGAATCTAAATTTGGCTAAAGTTACAAAAAGTCAATTGCACAAAGTGTATCTCTCATCTCATGTTTTCAATTAAGGGTCCATGACAATTTCATTTATCGATTGATTAATAAATAAAGAAATAATACAAAAAACAATTCTTTTTATATCAAAATAATAAACGATTTTCCAATCGACTAACAAGGTTGAAAATCAAATACTTGAAAAGAAATCCCTTTGTATTCAATAAGCTTTGCTAACGTTTGCGTTGTGAGTACGCATTGTTTCATAGCATTCATTGCTACGGCTTCGTCCTTATAATTACGTTGCCTTCAAGTGGGACGTGCTTCTTTGAGAGCTACGAAGTCGCGTAGCTCTGCCGTAGGCCCACAACGTTTGTAGATACGGCACATGTTTTAAAATTTAAAAATCCGTAAATCATTTTTCAATTAAAATAAAGAAAATAATTTTTTTTACATCATTAATTTATTTAGTTTCAAAATTGATTAAAATATAAAGTTTTCAATGTCATAATGTTTATTTTATGAAACTACTAGCTGTCGCTCACGACTCCGTCCGCGCGAATAAAATTAAAAAAATCTTAATGAGTAGCCTCTGTGTTCTTCCAGACTACGTTCTATATCTCTACCAAAATTTCATCGAGATCCGTTGAGTCGTTCTGGATATACCTTATGAGAAACATCCATCCATCCATTCCTCCATCTAAATATTCATATTTACAATATGAGTAAAATTAAGAATTTAGTTACTAAGTATCTTCATTTACTAAAACTTACATAATAAAAAAACCCACCAAGTATTATATCTAGTTTTTGGACATATGCCAAAGCACATCCGATAATTTTATTAGCAAAGTTTAATATGTGTGGCCAACGCAACCCTTGTGTTGGGCATAGTGTTCCGGTCTATACCGAGCTATTAAAAAGTTAACAAACATTCGTTACTCAGTTAAACGATGTTTAAATGTAGCTTTATCTTCTGCGTTTGATAAAAAAATACAAAGCCTTCAATAAAATGTTTCAAATTAATCAAGGATAAAAAATACAGCTAACATATAGAAGTGAAAAATATACACAATAGTAATATCAAGGTATCATAAAAACATAACATAAAATGTGTTTCCTATATGACTGGCATCCCATAACGGTGCGATTCTCGCCCTACGCACAGTCGCGTTGTGGAACGGTCTATCCTCGGCGGTATTAATACCTAACCATTACGACTTAGGGACCTTCAAGAAGCGAGCATACGATTTCCTTAAAGGCCGGCAATGCTTCTGCATTTCTTTTAGTGTTCCAGATGTCCATGGGTGTCGTTGATCACCTCAGTGTTCCCGCCGCTCGTTTACCTCTTTCTCTTGTTAAAAAAAAATTGTTTCATACATAGATGAAATATATAATAAATATGAATATATTATACTATTCAGTTGTAGCAAGGCTCGTCTAATTCGCTCTAATACAAACGTGACGTCAGAAAGTACTGGCTTACGTACCGGGTTTTATACTACTGTCAGCTATTAGTTTTATTTGTAGCACTAGAGGGCGCTGTCATCCTGGTACTCGCGGCGTTATTGCGCACCGGTGTGCAAGCTATGAACTCCTAGTACTTGATACTATTTAATTCAATTGTATGTATCATTTATGTATAAAACATGTTATCTCTTTTATTTTTAAACAGAATGAGAGGGAAGAGAATATGTTTTTGTAAAGGTATATCGATAGTGGAAACTCACGGAGCATCAGTCGCGAGAAAGCTGTGTCTCCATTTTTGTTCTTCAAATTATTTTCTGATTTTTTTAATTTCTCTTTGTAATGGTCGAAATATCAACATAATAACTTTTAAAATATGTTCTTTTAAACACTTCATAATGAAAGTGTAATAATTGTCAGTGAAAGTCTCTATTTGCTGCTTCTCTTTTATACCATACTTTAGAATTGAAGGGCAAGTTGTATGACATACAAAATAATGCCTTATCAACAAGGACATAAATATGAAAATGCTATGCAGTCGACAGATGAACTGAAGAGGCTGTAGAGAGGCGCACTGCGCCGACGCCAACAACGAGCCAGCTAAAAGCTAGTGACGTACACATGTAAAGGATTATCGATAAAAGTTATTATATTTGTAGAAATATAACTCAACATTTTTAGACATTATTACAAGGATATTTATTTATTTAAGGTTTCAAAACGTCCTAAGATGTAAAGTCATTTTAATATCTAGAAATTAATTGTTGATTAGTTGATATTGAGTCTTCTTTAGAAATTTCCTTACACGAAAATGTCTTAAGCAAGAGAAGAACCAGATGGTTCTCTTCATAGGAACTAACCAGGTAACTAATGAATAATATAAAATCAATTCTAAAAAAAATAATATAATAAAATAAATAAATTTGTATTAAAATCAATTTCATTCGTCATGTCACATCACTAAAAGTTTTCAGTATTCAGTAACACGAGAGCTAAGGATGGGATGTAACGCGAAGCTGCTCCGCGGCTGATGTCTGAAAATAAATAAAGCATCAAGCCTTGCGACACGGTTGTGCTTAACTATGTAATAGGTTATTAAAATTGAGTGCTTAAAGATGGGTGTGGACAGCGCACCGGTGCAGCGGCCTGCAGTAAGTGCAATTGCTGACGTGATTCAGCTGCATTATTTTAAATGTTGCGTTGGTAGCTTATAGATTTGATTTTGCGTATTCCGAGCTTTATAACTTATTTAATTACGGACATATAACCTTATTATTAAAATGGCTTAACTTATTTTATTATAACTAACAATATTAAAAATTAATATTAGTAAATACTAGAGATTTTTCTTTATAAGTGTTTGATATCTCTCAATTATAAGAGTTAATTAGTGTTTATAACTAAAACACTTGATACAGTCTCAATCCGCACGCTGAGAGCCATAAACAAGCAATTAGATTGAATTAAGACTTATGAACAAGTTCGTAGAACATCTTGTCTATGGTCTTTACAATATTAGAAAAGTATTTTTTGGATTTCGTAATAATTAACAATTATGTTAATATGTTCTTTATAATTGAAAATACACAATATGTACAAATGTGTACTTGTAAAGAGATATACATGTAAAGAGATGATTTTCAAAACTGTTTAAGAAAGAAAATTAATACTTAGATTTTTTCTCATATACACTACGCTTTAATATAAGATATCCCGCAAAAAATGTTACAAATATAGTAACCATGAAATTCCACTATCATAACATATATTGTTATCTCTATTTTGTCAAAGCAGATGACAAGGATGACATCACGTTTTTATAAAAGATTCGACAGACTTTATGGTGTCCTGACTTTACGATCGTCGATTAAGGTCTATGTCGACATATAAAGTGGATGTATTACGACAATATGTTTTATTTTTACTATGAGGCACTAGTGTGGAGGAAATTATACACTTATAATATACTCGTAAAAAACATAAATTTTGGCTGATACGAGTAACATAATTATGAGAGCGCCGGTGGCTCAGGGGTCAAGCACTTGACTTGCAATCTG